AAAGGAGTCCAGTAGGGAGCTGTGAAAAAATGAGTGGCGTGGCGACAGGTCAAAGTTTGAGGCTTAGCCACGCCCACACCGTTAAACTTTTGAAAAATCCGACGGTTGAATTTTTTCCTCTTTGTCTTAAGAGTATATAGCAGACGTTTCAAGGAGATTGGTGAAAAGGGCGACGGAGCATCACTCTCCAAACAAGGTGTGCGAAAACCAGTAAATTGCGTACTTGGACCAAAATGGCCGACTTCCTGTGCGACTTTGCACTTGGGTCCAAGAGACTTTTTTGTAGGTCCTGAGACACCACATTAGTGTACCAAATTTCGTAATCCTCAGTCAAAGCATGGCTTGGGGCTGACAGTTTTAATGGTCCTAGGGGGCGCTATTTCAGAAAATAGGCCACGCCCACCGGATGTTCACATCAGATCTTTTGGGGGGCCAGACTAGGATCACTCACAAGAAGTTTCGTGATGATATCTTTAGAAATGACGAAATGGGAGGCAAACGTAAGGCCACGGCGGTACGCCTGACTTCGCCGCGCCGCCACAGCCCCGCCCTCTGCCGAAAACTCACATAATGTGACACCAAGCAACCCCCACTTGTCTTGAGTTACCAGCTACAAATTTGTGGTGATTTAGTGAAATGGGGCAATTTGGGACCTTTCACAGTAAAACTTAACCTTTTTGGTCCTGAGGGGGCGGGGCTTGTGTGATGTCATCATGCGACCATTCAATTTACTTTGTGAGGTGATGACGAATGACCACAGAAAGTTTGGTAACTCTATTCCATTCAGTTATGAAGTTATAGCAATTTAAAAATTTTTGGCGAGTAGTCAAACTTCGAGGCCTGGCCCCGCCCCTTCAGTATTTACGAAAAGTCAATTTTATTGTCTCATTTTGTTCGCCCATCTCTTCTGAGCAATTTTACAGAATTTTTGAGATGATCGTGCAAAAAATGATCGAGCAATCCAATCAGAAACGGACCCTAAAAACGGCCAAAACGGCAAAAAATCGCCATTTCAACCCAAAATGGCCGACTTCCTGTTTGATATTGACCATGCTTGCAAGAGACTTTTCTGTGCGGACTATTGAGTACTATAAGTGTACCAAATTTCATATCGGTACGATAAACTAAGCTTTATGGAGAGGGTTTTTTTTCATTTTCTAGGGGGCGCTGTTCAGCCAATTTCTTTGCGATTTTTTTGGGACCTTTAAAATATCAAATTTTTCACCAGGCCTGACAAGTATGCAAAATATTGTGAGTTTTGGGGTATGTTAAGGTCCCCAAAAAGCCATTCAAAGCGGCACCGGAATAATAAATAAAAATTAAAGCTGCAAGCAGCGTCGTTCGGCCCTCGCAGCTCCGCGCCGCTCCGGTCTGCCGTCGCACCAGTGCACGTCTGACAGAACAGAAACGTCAACCACCCCGACACCAGAAACCGCGAATGGCCTCCTAGTCTGCACCTCACCCTGACTCAGCATCCCCTCTGAGCTCACCATTAAATTGAATATTAAGATTACGGCGTTACGCCAGAATTCGCCATGGCATCAAAGCCCCTCCCTTTCTGGAAAGCTATCAGATCTGAATGGTCATTACAGCATCATGAAGACAGTGCATGACCTTAGGGTCATGTTGACTAAATTAGAGGGGACAAATATGGGCATTTCAGCATAAAAAATAAATTCCTGTAGTCAGGGGGCGGGGCTTAGGTGATGTCAGCTGTCCACATTGTCATTGTTTACAGATATGGTCAATGATCACACAGACAAAGTTCGAAAAAGATCTGATCATGCACATGGGAGTTATTAAGTCAAGTAAAGTAATGGCGAAAGGTCAACGTTTGAGGCTTAGCCACGCCCACACCTTTCAACTTTTGAAAAATCCGACGGTTGAATTTTTTCCCCTATGTCTTAAGAGTGTATTGCAGAAGTTTGAAGGTGATTGGTGAAAAGGGCGACGGAGCATCACTCTCCAAACAATGTGTGCGAAAACCACTAAATCACGTACTTGCACCAAAATGGCCGACTTCCTGTGCGACTTTACGCTTGGCTCCAAGAGACTTTTTTGTAGGTCCTGAGACCCCACATTAGTGTACCAAATTTCGTAATCCTCAGTCAAAGCATGGCTTGGGGCTGAAAGTTTTAATGGCTCTAGGGGGCGCTATTTAAGAATATAGGCCACGCCCACAAACTTCAGCTGTCTATTTCTCTTGGAGCTCAGACTAGGATCACTCACCAGAAGTTTCGTAGCAATATCACGATAACTGAAGAAATGAGACAAACGTATTTCCATGGCGTGATGGCGATTTTCGCCATGGTCCCAAAGCCCCGCCTTTTTTCAAAACCTGCCAGTACTGGAGACCAAGTAACCTCAACTTGTCTACTGCTGTTTGCCACAGAATCCTGGTGATTGGGTAAAAGGAGTCCAGTAGGGAGCTGTGAAAAAAAGAGTAGCGTGGCGACAGGTCAAAGTTTGAGGCTTAGCCACGCCCACACCTTTCAACTTTTGAAAAATCCGACGGTTAAATTTTTTCCCCTATGTCTTAAGGGTATATAGCAGAAGTTTGAAGGAGATTGGTGAAAAGGGCGACGGAGCATCACTCTCCAAACAACGTGTGCGAAAACCACTAAATCGCGTACTTGATCCAAAATGGCCGACTTCCTGTGCGACTTTGAACTTGACTCCAAGAGACTTTTTTGTAGGTCCTGAGACACCACATTAGTGTACCAAATTTCGTAATCCTCAGTCAAAGCATGGCTTGGGGCTAATAGTTTAAATGGTCCTAGGGGGCGCTATTTCAAAACATAGGCCACGCCCACAAAATTCAGCTGTCTATTTCTCTTGGAGCTCAGACTAGGATCACTCACCAGAAGTTTCGTAGCAATATCACGATAACTGAAGAAATGAGAGACAAACGTATTTCCATGGCGTGATGGCGATTTTCGCCATGGTCCCAAAGCCCCGCCTTTTTTCAAAACCTGCCAGTACTGGAGACCAAGTAACCTCAACTTGTCTACTGCTGTTTGCCACAGAATCCTGGTGATTGGGTAAAAGGAGTCCAGTAGGGAGCTGTGAAAAAAAGAGTAGCGTGGCGACAGGTCAAAGTTTGAGGCTTAGCCACGCCCACACCTTTCAACTTTTGAAAAATCCGACGGTTGAATTTTTTCCCCTATGTCTTAAGGGTATATAGCAGAAGTTTGAAGGAGATTGGTGAAAAGGGCGACGGAGCATCACTCTCCAAACAACGTGTGCGAAAACCACTAAATCGCGTACTTGATCCAAAATGGCCGACTTCCTGTGCGACTTTGAACTTGACTCCAAGAGACTTTTTTGTAGGTCCTGAGACACCACATTAGTGTACCAAATTTCGTAATCCTCAGTCAAAGCATGGCTTGGGGCTAATAGTTTTAATGGTCCTAGGGGGCGCTATTTCAGAAAATAGGCCACGCCCACCAGATGTTCACATCAGATCTTTTGGGGGGCCGGACTAGGATCACTCACAAGAAGTTTCGTGACGATATCTTTGGAAATGACGAAATGGGAGGCAAACGTAAGGCCAAGGCGGTACGCCTGAATTCGCCGCGCCACCACAGCCCCGCCCTCTGCCGAAAACTCCCATAAAGTGACGCCAAGCAACCCCCACTTGTCTTGAGTTACCAGCTACAAATTTGTGGTGATTAAGTGAAATGGGGCAATTTGGGACCTTTCACAGTAAAACTTGATCTTTTTGGTCCTGAGGGGGCGGGGCTTGTGTGATGTCATCATCCGACCTTTCAATTTACTTTGTGGGTGGATGACGAATGACCACAGAAAGTTTGGTAACTCTATTCCATTCAGTTATGAAGTTATAGCAATTTAAATATTTTTGGCGAGTAGTCAAACTTCGAGGCCTGGCTCCGCCCCTTCAACATATACGAAAACTCAGAATCCTTATCTCATTTTGTTCGCCCATCCCTTCTGAGCAATTTTACACAATTTTTGAGACGATCGTGCGAAAAATGATCGAGCAATCCAATCAGAAACGGACCCTAAAAACGGCAAAAACGGCAAAAAATCGCCATTTCAACCCAAAATGGCCGACTTCCTGTTTGATATTGACCATGGTTGCAAGAGACTTTTCTGTGCGGACTGTTGAGTACTACAAGTGTACAACATTTCATAACTGTACGACAAACGAAGGTTCATGGAGGGGGGTATTTTTCACATTCTAGGGGGCGCTGTGGAGTTAGTTTTATGGCAATTCTTTTGGGACCTTTAAACTACAAAATTTTACTCCACGCCTGACATGTGTGCAAAAATTCCTGAGTTTTCGTAGCCTGGCAAGCCAGACTAAATAAATGTATTATTTAGTCTGGCCACGCTCCATTGACGGCTCTCGGTTGTGGGGCGGGTTCTACCGTTGTCTTTCAAATGATCTCCGCATTCCACTGGACAATGAATGTGACATTCTCTTGTTTCACTCTGTTGCATCATCCCACCCACCAGGCATATAGAGTGCCCTGTTTGGCCCACAAAGCGGATAAAGCTCTGTGATTTGTTCACTAAGCAGATAGAGCACTATGATTGGCCCACCATTATGGACCAATCACAGCTCTTTATGTGTTTGAAACCCCTCTAGAGAGCTGTGATTGGCTAGCCAGAGTCCTGGTAGGAGCTGCTGAGGTTCCAATGGAGCATGCCTAGACCATTCTTTGCAAAGCAAGAATTTGGTCTAGTTCACTAGGCTAGAGTTTTCGGGTATGTTAAGGCGTTCAAAAAGCCAGTTTACTTGGCGGAAGAAAAATAAACAGAGCAGATACAATAGGCCTTCGCAGCGCTTTCGCTGCTCGGGCCTAAAAAATAACAATAGAGTATAGTTGATTATTTTAAAAATACTTATTTATCTACAAATCTCTTTTTTATTTTTTTTATTTTTATTTTTGCTTATTTTTGTATAGTTTATAAAAGTTTTGCATTTGTCTTAGATTGCATCGGCGTGTTTCCGTCTGACAGTTTGTTTTTTGTAGATTCCAAAAGGCAACGTGACAGAGATCTCTGCAGCCGATAAAGCTGAAGGATTACGCAGGTGCATATTTGCATTATACTTAATCCTTTTCCTTTGTGCTTTGATGTCAGTAAACATTTTCTATGGGATGCTGTTTTAACTTCCCAGACTGTAGAACCTGTGCAGCACTGTCTGGTCCTCATTTTAAATGCTCACTTTTCGTTTTTAGTCAACAGAAAGATTTTGTTGGCCTGAGCTTCCCCACGATCTCCAGCGTGGGTCCAAATGGAGCGATCATACATTACAGGTCATATGACAGATAAAGCATGCTGATATTAAGACTTTGCTGTATAAAATGGTTACGATGATCTTTATTTCCCTGCTTTAGACCGCTGCCTGAAACCAACAGAACTCTCACAGTGAATGAAGTCTATCTGATTGATTCTGGAGCGCAGTACATGTAAATATAGAATCCAACACATCTGGGGAATTAATATTATTATTACACAGCTAGAAGATTAACCTGCCAAGTTTTGATATTCATTAGTTGGGTTTATCTGTGTTTGGCAGAGATGGAACTACAGACGTGACACGCACCGTTCACTTTGGAACGCCGTCGGCTTTTGAGAAGGTAAGTTTATCACCATCACCAGATTTTATGCACTAAATCTGATGTGTTTTTGAGGTAAAAATCATTACAGTTTACTTTTTGAATTGTTTATGATGAAATTTGAACATGGAGGTAAATAGAGGATGTTTGTATACAAAATTGTAAGTAAAAGTTTGAAAGTCAAGTTTTGGTTTTGGACAGGGAGAAACAACAAAAGAAGTGAAGCAAACATTGATTTCAGTTTGAATAGAGATGGAAATCATTTTTTGTTTGTTTATTTTATTGTTGTTTTGTAAGTTTTGAGTTATTTGTATAAATCACAAAGAAATGAAAACATAAAATCTGAAACTGAGAGTGAAACAAAAGCAAATAAAAAAAAATTTGAAAGTGGAAAAACGCACGGATAAATCAGCATCCAAACTGAAATAAATAAAATCTCATTTTCTTTTATTCAAAATTGTTGTTGTTGTTGTTTTAAGTCACAACTTTCAGTTTGAGTTTTTTTTTTTTCATTTTTAAAAACGTTTTTTATTTAAGCAAACATTATGATGCATATTTAACTCCATACATAATCTCTCCTTTTCTGTCTTGTAGGAAAGTTTTACTTATGTTCTGAAGGGACACATAGCTGTCAGTGCTGCGGTTTTCCCTAATGGAACAAAAGGTACCTACATTTTGGTTATTTTGGGGTCCTTTTTATAAACACGTGTTTTTTGCTTAAAGCATTAAGGGCAACTTTAAAGACATACTATGCAACTTTTTCATATGTTTTATATACTTTTCTTGAGCCAGTATGTGCTAAAATAAGGTTAATGAACTGTCATTAATAACCCCCACCACCCCTTGTGGCCAGAACACCACACTTGCAACTTCAGAGTGTCAGTGCTGTCCTTGTTAGTGAAGTGGAGCTCATACCACTTACACACCAGCGTCGACTCCACTCCCTCCGTTCGCCCAAGCCTGGCCGCATTTGCTCCACACTGCCAGGAATGTGGATGTGATTGAGCACATGGACAATCTCCAAAATTGACGCAAAAAATATCAGACAGAGAAAAGCAGCTTCAGTCAGAGATTCCTTAACTCCACAGAATCCAGAGTAATAATGAGTCATGCAAATGGGAAGCCTCCGCGAGGTGATTCTATCCACTGATCGGAGGCTCCCCCTCATGGTAGGTGTGATTTTGAGCCGGCCAGTCTTCCAATCAGGCAGACCGCATTGGGAAGAGGGCTGAAAAGACGTCCGGCTGCGTGTGGGAAAATCCAAGGCTCCAAATGAGAACACTCCAAACCCGGTCCAGGCGAAGTAGAGCCGACGTTAGTGTGGAAGTGCCATAAGATGCTGGCCCTGCAGTCTGCTTCCCACACATTTCCTGCATATTTAGATTGTGAACACAGCTGATTTGTTTGATTTTGGTATGAATCATTTCTGTAGAAACTAATGAAGGCTGAGGAGACATTTCAGCTGTTAGATTAAGGTGTTAAAACGACATACACATAGCAAGGAGAGTTTCACTATCGGTTTTACCACAGTGAATTTATAACGGACACTAGGGGGTGCTAAAAGCAAGCTAAAACTGCTAAGTCTCCCTTTAAGTGGTTCAGCTCAACAAATTCACACCTGGGTGTGATTTTTTTCCTTTCCTGAACAACAATCCTTAAATAAAAATGTAGTATTGTTAGAATCACCCATATTTCCTAAATTATAGAAAATTAGTGATTTCATCTTTTATTTCAGTCAGAGATCCAATTATATGTATAAAAATTGGGATTTTAATTTAGACAAGTTTAACTCAAATCCACAAAAACGTAAAAAAAATATTTTTGTTGCGCTGACAAACTGACAGTTCTATCAAAAAGGTCTACATAGAGGTTCTGGTCAATTTAAGCTCCATCTTCAGCTGTAATGGTCCCTCTTCCTGCCAGGCCACCTGTTGGATTCATTTGCCCGTGCGGCTCTGTGGGAGGCAGGACTGGACTACCTTCATGGAACGGGTCACGGTGTCGGCTGCTTCCTCAACGTCCACGAAGGTCCCTGTGGCATCAGCTACAAGACCTTCGCTGATGAACCTCTGGAGGCTGGCATGATCGTCAGTGATGGTAGACGGTCCTAAAAACATTGATGTTGCTACATTTTTTCCCTGGATAAAAACATTTTTTGATTTAAATGTTTTCCCATTGTGATTCTAAAAAAATGAGTATCTGGTATTTTTCCTGATATTTAATAAAATACAAACTTCTTGTTTTTATATCCAGAACCCGGGTACTATGAAGATGGGTCATTCGGTATTCGCATTGAAAACGTGGTCCTTGTTGTTCCAGCAACCTCCAAAGTAAAGCCACTGTCACTAATGACTTTTAAGAGTCATCTTCAAAAGACCCTTCATGTTAAGTGATTGTTCTGTTTCTGTGTGTAGTACAACTACAGGAACCGGGGCAGTCTGACATTTGAGCCTCTGACTTTGGTCCCGATCCAAATGAAAATGATGAACACGGAGCTGCTCACTCAGAAGGAAGTAGGAGATCTTCAGCTATTTCATTCTGAACACTTAAACCTAAATATTCTCTAGCTCAGAACAAAAAGCCTCAGCAGTTACTTTATGGCGGTCTAACGAGTCTCCTCTTCATGTCCCGCAGAAAGACTGGGTGAACGAGTACCACAGGAAGTGCCGGGATGTGATTGGATTGGAGCTGGAGAGGCAGGGCAGGATGGAGGCGTTGGAGTGGCTGATCAGAGAGACTCAGCCAATAATCTGAGAACTTTTACAATCTGATTACGCAGGAGTGCTGACAGATCGCTCTACATTGATAATCGTTTGTACGTTTTCTGCTCTGTCTCTGCTTGTCTTTTTAAAGCACATCTCATCTGCAGTTTATTAAAGATTGAATGAATCAAACGTTTTTTTTTTTCTATTTTGTGCCTGAAAACAAATGTGATTAAAATGTGTGCTTTTGAAGGATTTTGTAAATCATTTCCATTAAAGATCCACTGTGTGAAACGTATGGACATCAATGTCTTGAAATAGACATTTTCCATAATAGACAAATAATTTACTTTATAAAATGTTTAAAGAGCAAGTCACCCCCTACCAGATTCTTACTCAACTCCCACTTCCTGTTTGAAAAATGCAACACATGCTGTTGCCTAGCAGACCGAGAGGGCGGAGCCGCTAACAAATACACACACACACAGGCTCACGACAGCATTGTGACATCATAATGTACCAGTTTACATCATAGCATACCTCTTAGCCAATAGCGATGGCAGATTTAAATTAAAATACAGTGCAGAGTTTTTACCTGACAACGGCACAACACTGACAGTTTTAGACAGAATATTTAAATTTTAACTAAGATGCACTGAAGTGTCAAATTATTGACGACACGTGTCTGCAGCACGATTAGACACTCGTTTATTTAGTTTATCAGCAAAAAAAAGTTTGTTTGGGGGTGACTTGCTCTTTAATGCCTTTTAAAGTTACACTAGGTAGTTTTTCAAACTTTAAGTTAGATCTTTAATATTGATCTCAGTGATTAAAAATGTGGGGTCTAAGCATTAACACATTTGTCTGGGGTCATTACACGACCGTAACAGCAGAGGGCACCATGCAGAATGTGCTCAACAGGAGAAAAAAGTGAAGAGGGGTCCAGAGCAGAGTGGATTGACAAGCTAAGGTAGTTATGATGAGCCAGACAGGACCACAGTAGCATGAGATTGAAGGTGAGTAAAGCAAGGCAGAGGGTGTCTATGAATGAAAGCCTCATATGACTTGATTTCACATGTGGGCAAAGGTCTGATAGCTTGCATTAAAATAGTACTTTTTGCCCAGTATTTGTTCTAAAATTTTCAGTAAATATAGTTTATTTAAAAAGTGATTTTGTTTTTTGTCTTTTCATGAAAATGTGTCTCAGAAAGTAGGGGTCGGCTTATAATCGTATAGGGACGTCCTATACTTGGGTCAATACGATATTTGACACCACTCTGCTGGCCAGAAACAGCACTTAATAGTTTTGTGGATAGAGGGTGCTCTTTACCTGCATAAAGGCTATTAGCCATTTTCCATGCTGGTAGCTAATTAAAGGCTAGCAATTAGCTTTTTCAGTTTGCTGACTATCATGAAAAACACAATAAGAAGAAGGAAAAAAAGTTTGCTTTTCTGTTGGCATCATGGCGTAGCCTAGAAGTAAAAGTCAAAGAATTATGTCTGGAGGTGAAGCAAAGAGGTAAAACCAGAGTGAAAATCAGCACAGCCTAGACCCATTTGAGAAAGCTAAAGGAGGATATGAAATCACAGACCGATGGTAGAAGAAGAAGAAAATATAATTTCTATAGCGCCTCTCAAGATCAAAATCACGAGGCACTTCAAAAAAACATAAAAAAAACATAAACATATAAAAAAGCATTTAGAAAATATTTAAAAATATATTTAAAATGAGCAAAAATAGACTATTGTGATTAAAAAATGTTAAGAAAGAGAGAGAGAATAGGAAGGAAGGAAATCAGTGGATCCTGAGGAAGGTGGAATAGGTGGGGAGAGCAGAATAGAGAGTGGTGAAGAAGGTCATACAAAAGCCAGCTTGAGCAAGTGAGTCTTCAGCAGCTTTTTAAAGGAGACCGCTAAGTCCACTGATCTCATACTCAGGGGGAGAGAGTTCCAGAGTCTGGGGGCAACAGCAGCAAATGATCTGTCACCTTTGGTCTTTAGCCTGGTGCTGCACAACCAGTAGGCTTTGATCACTGGACCTCAGGGACCTGCTGGGTGTGTAGGGACTAAGAAGATCACCAATGCAAGATGGTGCTTGTCCATGTAAGGCCCTATAGACCAGAACCTTCTTCCAGAATCTTGAAATGAACCCTGAAGTTGACTGGCAGCCAGTGAAGTTGGAGGGGAAGCGGGGTGATGTGGGTGTGTTTGGAGGACTTGGTCAGAAGCCGAGCACAGGCATTCTGAACCACCTGTAGACGGTTCAGGGAGGCTCTGCTCAGACACGTGAAAAGAGAGTTACAGTAGTCTAAGCGTGAGGAGATGAAGGAGTGGATAACTGTCTCAAGTTCAGAGCGGGACAGAATGGGACTCAGCTTAGCAACGTTCCTGAGATGGAAGAAGGAAGAGCGAACAAGAGAACTGACATGAGAGTCCAGGGTGAGAGCTGGGTCAAAGGTCACGCCAAGATTCCTGATGGAAGGTTTGGTGTGAGAAGCAAGCTGACCAAGAGAGTCTCTGACTTTGGGAACCAGCTTGTCTGGGGCACAGATGAGGATCTCAGTCTTATCTTCATTCAGCTGAAGAAAGCTCCCAGCCATCCAGGTTTTGATTGAGTCTAAGCAGGTGTGTAACGCCGGGGACACACTGGCCGCGGAAGCGCCGAGAAGCGAATCGCTCATGAAATTCGGCCGCTGCTCGCCGCTCCTCAGTTCAGATCAGACGCGCCCCAGTCGAGGCGCGCCTCGGCTCAGCTGTAGTTTTTCTTTTAAACACTTGGTGTCCTCCATTTCCTCTCTGCCTTTTCTCAGCTCTTTTCCTCTACGTTTGAGTGTTTGTACGCGTGTGCGTGCGTGTGCGCACGCGCGTGTGCGTGTGTGTGTGTCTGTGAACCTATGGTATGAGTTGTTTCTGCCAGTTGAATCTCTTGGAACCCGCTCCAGTTCTGCAGCTGTATCCTAGCAGTTTATTCAGAAATGGGTACGTAAAGGGTTAGGGTTATGGGTTAGGGTTAGGGTTAGGGTTGGGTTAGGGTTAGGGTTAGGTATTTAGGGTTAGGTATTTAGGCAGATTTTTTAATTTTTAAAGAAAATGCACCAAAATGCTAAAATAATGAATACACACATTTAAAACACTATTAGACACTCATTTATACAGTTCATCAGCAAAAAAAAAGTTAATTTAGACGTTACTTGCTCTTTAAAGTAGGGATGCACCGATACCCCCTTTTTCCAAACTGATAAGATACCGATACTTGGATCTGAGTACTTGCAGATACTGATACTTTTACCACACAAAAATGCAATGAATTAGAATACAGGTTGTGTTTTCTTCTCTGCTTTCATCAGGAAAAGACGGTGAGTTAGATAAAAAAAATAAAATATAAAGCCTTAGCTTTAGCAAACTCGGTGTACCCTGGCTGATGACGGAGTCTTAGATGTTTTATTAAGTTGCTGGTATTGATTGACATTTTCTCCTTTCCTCTCCTGGACACCTTATCAGTTTGTGTGGCAAGGTGGAGAAATGAGGGCCCAGTCAGGATTCGATCTCCAGACTCCCGGGTAAGAGTCGTGCGCGCTAACCAGTCAGTCAAAGGGACATCCCTTTGGCCAAGTAGCCAGGGCGCATGATCAATCAGGACATTGTGACAGGACGCTCACACTGCCACATTTGCACGCAGCCACGCGGCTGACATGCTGTTTAACCTAGCTACAGCACCCCCTGGTTTTCTTATTCCTAAACCCACACGGTTACTCTTTTGCTCAACGGCTCCCCCAGTGGTCAATATAGAAACTACAACAGAAATGACAAGTTACAGTGAAGCCACCAGTACCGGTATCGGTGCATCCCTACTTTAAAAATTTGTAGACAAAAATGTTGATGAGCTAAAGAAGAGGATTAGGATCACTGAAAATCAAATAATTCTGACTTCAATCTCAGAATTCTGGCTTTAATTTTAGAACTCTGACTATTCCAACTTTAATCTCGAAATTCAGTGTTTAATCTCGGATTTCTGTCATTAGTCTCAAAATTCTGAATTTGATTTCAAAATTCTGACTTTCCTCATAATTCTGACTTTAATCTAAAAAAACCAGGAGTTCCTTCCAACAGAGAACGGTGACGGCGCTCTTACTCATCGAACGGAATCAGCTGAGGTTGTTTGGGCTTCTGAATAGGAAGCCTCCTAGCCAGGCCTGGTGTTGGCTTCATGGGTGCCTTAATCAGAATTTCATTTTGTGTCACACCCCCTTAAAATAATTTCTGGACTGGGGTGGTCATTTTCCTTTTTGACTGGAATGTTTTGGGATCACCCAGGAGGAGAGGGAGGGGGATGTCTGGGATTCCCTCCTTTAACCTGGAGTAAACAGAGACGGTAAACAAACCACTGAAATAAGAGACAAATGGCAAGATGGGCGTGGCCACTTGACGTTACATAACCGTAGACATATAAATAAAAATATATTTTGTTAATTGCACAAATAAAACCACAGAAGCGCTGGAAATTTTTTTTGACACTTTTTCTGAAATGAAATTTATTTTGAAAATTTTAATATCTTAAGAGTGGAGAAGCAGCAGACAGAGAAGAACAGAAGACACCACGGTGCAAGATACCAATTGATTCAGACGTAAACAAAATGCTGTTGTAAGTTCATTTTTCACAGTGGAGACTTTTTCATTAGCTGCTATTAAAATACAGAGATAGTGATGATTGATTAAACCATTAAAGACAGACTGTAAGACACCTGTTTTGTGTCCAGACTAGAGCTTTACATAATTTCACAGAAAAAATTCATTCATAAAACTGAAAAAAATAAATTTCTAAAAATGATTATTTTCTCCCAAACATATCAGGCTAAATAAAAAAACAGTGTGCAATTTATTCTTCAGGTTATTTTTGTAGAGAATCGGAAACTTGGAATTTCCGGTTGTCATTGAATGCATCATGACTTGAGGTTCCTCAGGGGTCATTACAAAGACACCTCCAGAGATTTGCACACAACTTTAGTAATGAGATGAAAAAGCAGCATGGCTCAGATGTAAAATTCATTACTACTGAAACAACAAAAGATCTGTAACTAATATGGTTTTCTTCATAACTAACCTGACGACAGACACTCTAAAGCTGCATGTAGAATATTGGCGGGTCCAGGACGAGGCCGCTGTTGGGATCGTTGGCGTACTCTTGCAACGACAGAGGCAGCGAGAGGGAAGTCTGCTCCTCTGGTCTCCTGCTGACTCTGATCTGCTCCTCCTCTTCCTCCTTCAGCCCCACAGGCAGCGGGTTGCTGTAGATGTAGTAGATCCTGGAGTTGTCCTTTGCTGCCTCTGGTCTCCTGAAGAAGGCCACCAGAGGGTTGATGAAGCTGGTAGACCTTTTCACGGCTCTGACCTCCACAGGATCCTCCGGCTCAGTGCCGCTCACCGCGCTCCCGCACACGTGAGCTCTCTTCGACTGTCTGGTGAGGAAAGCAGGTAGCAGAAGTAGGTACAAGCACCCATTCTAATAAAAATCTCAATTAAATTAAAATATTACACAAAATACATGAAAGAATCAAATCAAATCTATTTCTATTGACTAAATAGATTTTAAAAAAATCATAAAATAATTACAGCTAATGTTTTTAAAATAGCATAAAAGTACTAAATATAACAGGAAACAATAAGAAAAACTCAAACAACAAAAACACCACAAAATATGATTACAGAATTTAAAATTATATTTAAAAAGGAATGTGGCTGATTAGATGTGTTTTGTATTTTTTCCCATTGTTTGAACTTAGTTTTTGTCTTCTGAAACAATGTGCTCTTTTGTCGTTAAACGTTTTTACATTTTTAATTCTTCTTGAGTTTGTAGTTTTATGTCTGAAGGTCTGGTCGCATAGAAATCCACTTTTTACTCTAGCGGAGAGTTTTTGACAGGATTACGTCTCCCTAAAAATCTTCCTAAAAGTCTTATAGCTTAAAAAAATGTCTAATTTGTTATAAAACCTGATTAAATTTACAGGTTGGATGTATTAAAAAAAAGCATTATTTTATTTTTATTTAATTGATTGCTTTGGTTACATAACTAATTAGTTAATAGTTTTAAAGCCATACCATGCAACTTTTTTCATCTTTTAAAGGGGAACTAAGCAGTTTTAACTTGCTTTTAGCACCCCTAATGTTCGTTTGTAGAACCAGAAGCAAATCTTGTCTCCTCGCAGTGCGTTTGTCTTTTTAAAACCTTAATCTAACTGCTGAAATGTGTCTCCAGCCTCCATTAGTGTCTGTGATTCGTCACTAAATTAAATAAATCAGCTGTGTTCATGATGAAACATGCAGGAAACATGCCGGAAGCAGACTGAAGCGCCAGGTATGTCGGCTCCAACAGTGCATCCCACCTTTCTGAAGTTGCAAGTGGCCACAGGGAGCTGGTGGCCTTTCATTAACCCTGTAATGGGATATTTTTGATTATAATTGCTCAAGAAAACCATTTAATTTCATATTTTTTATGCAATGTTGGAAATGTAAAATGTCCTTTTACGGGGTTAATGAAATGTCACTCAGACCCCTGTGGTTAGAATACCGCATTTGTAACTTCAGAGTGCCGGTCCGGTCTGCTGGACTTAGGAAAGTGGACCTGACACGCCTGGCGCTGCAGTCTGTTTCCAGTATGTTTCCTGCATGTGTAAGATCGTGAACACAGCTGATTCGTTTGATTTAGTGATGAACCGCTTCGAGGCTGAGGAGATGTTTCAGCTGTTAGATTAACATGTTAATTTTCTAACATTTCTGGTGTTTGAGCACAAAAATGCACTTAGGACATATAAGGGTTAGGGTGTTAAAAAGACAACTGCACAGCGAGGAGATAAGTTTCCCTTTTGGTTTCACTTCAAGGACTCTAGGGTGCGCTAAAGCAAGCGAAAACTGCAAAATATCCCTGTAAGTCCTGGTTAACCCCAACTTTTGTGTCCCTAACTAGACTGATATTTAAAGATAAACATTATTGTTATTTCCTCAAATGAAAAATATTCTAGTAAAATATTTTAGAATATTGAAGGACTTCATGTCGAGGTTAAAACTTAAATGAAAGGATTTGTTTTAGTGTCAACGTGCAGAGACCCAGTTAATGACAGCATGTCGGATCTGTAATTTGTCTAACTGTTTTGTTTTTATTTTTTAGTTTAAAGCATATTTTTTACATTTAACACCCAAAAAAATCCAACCTAAAAAATCAGGCTGAAACGATGAAACGTTAAAATGATCTTTAAATATTTAGGTTTTTGTTGTTAGAATTGGGTGAAAGTTCACGCTTCATGAAAAGATTAGTGATGTTAGTCACAGGTGTGTGTATCCTACCTGGTGTGGTTGTAACAGACACTGACGCAGTACAGGCCGGTAGCAGCGAGGACACACGGAGCCAGGGCCATGAGGACGATGTTCACCACTCTGATCTCTGCATCAAACACAGGAGAACAAACACTAAACTCACAGTAACAGAACTTACAAGAATCAGTGACTTTAAAGTGTTGCTGACCAATCAAGGGAAAGTTCACCAGCTCGTCCTGAAGCCCCATAGTCGTGGTTCCGTTCAGATGGATGCTGTCGGCCATCTGGGCTCGATCCTGATGGGTTCCACTCATGCTGCCATTTGCATCCCAGAAAGAAAAACCACAACACAGACAGGTTCAGGTTCTTCTCACTGCCTGGAACAGAACGCCTGGACCGTGTGACTCAAACTGCTTGACTGTTGCCATGGAGACACCATCCAACTTTGTAGAAACCCTGGCGGCCTGTCCGCAGCTCCCCTTGTTTACTGCTCATTATTCTGTGCAGCGTTGTGGGGCGCTCTGAGGGGAGGGCGATGTTAGGCTTTTCATACTGTAATAGGAAGTGAGTGCTCCCCAAAGCAGAGTAGTCTGCATGTTTCTGCACAAAGCAGAGAGGAATTAATTAAAGTTGGATTTTAACATGGCATGCAATGGCGAGACCTCCAATTTCACATCGATGTGCACCAATAAAATACATGGGATATGTTTTTAAATTCCTATTTTTATGCATTATTTCTATTTTTATGGTATTTTTATGTTTTATTTTTAAGTAAAGTTAATGATAATTATACAAAATTATTATTATTATTATTTTTAAAAAATACAAAAAGTCTCTATTTGAGAGAAGTTTGCACCCCCCTTTTTTTTAACTGTTATTTTTCCTTTTAACCAAATTTTACCAAAGCAGAGTCGCGTAAACATTCTTGCATCACGTCCACATCTTATTTATTTATTTATTTTAATCTCCACTGTTTGTTTTGAGGACGGGACTGCAGCAAATCCAGGGAACTACAGTTCACATTTTCACAAACAGTCAGGATCTACGGTTCAGTGGTTCCACAAAACGCTCAGAGCCAAATCGACAAAAAGTCAACAAAGACGGCATTCTTTCTTTTTTTTGCTACGCTTCACCTCCTGCAACACCACAGGAGATAATATGCAATTAGTGGAGGATCTAGTTAAAACAGGTTCTGTGTTGCTGTTCAACAAACTCAGCTGCTTTGAGGTTTTATTATTTTTTATGAGAATGACTTTGTTTCAGATAATGCCTTTAAGCAGAAAGATGCCTCCATCTTATTCATAATAACAACAACAACAATTATTGTTATTATTATTATTATTATTATTATTATTATTATATCAAACATGCAGTGAGAAAAAACTCTAAAGTTTTTGACCGAAGTGCTGCAGGTTGGACTTATTTTGCATAATACACTGAAAAAAAATATAAACACTTTTGTTTTTGCGCCCATTTTTCATGAGTTGAACTCAAACATCTGAAACTTTTTCTACAAACACAAAACACCCATGACTCTCAAATATTGTTCTGAAATCTGTCTACATGTGTGTTAGTGAACACGTTTCCTTTACTAGATACTCCATCCCACCTCACAGGTGTGGCATATCAAGAGGCTGATTAGACAGCGTGAATCATGTACAGGTGCGCCTTGGAGTGCCCACAATGAATAATAATACGTTTACAAGAGTTCCTTTGCAAAACAGATGAATCTGTTTATGCATTTTCAACAGATTTATATTATTTACTTTGGATAAAAGATGGCTTTTATCTGTTTTTGCTAATAAACTCGTATTATATACACACAGATTTCATTGCTTAAATTCATTAAATTAACAGTAACAAAAACACATTTATTGCAACATCCTGCTGGAACAGATTAGTTGTACGGTTCATTTTCTCCACTAGAGGTCAGACTCAGATTACAATTGGTGTAGAGAAGGTCTGGAGGTCTTCAGTAGGATGGAGCTGTGACAACTTCACATGTGAAGTCATTCTACAGTAAATTAAAACCATCCTCTAAGTGATGGATCAGCATCACAGAGAGGATGGATTATTTATCAGCCTTCTAAACGTTTTCTAAAGACTTAAAATTTCACTCCCTTTCTGACTTTCTGCAGAGTCAGACTGAGGTTTGTGGGTGGCGTGGTGTTTATTTGAACAGAGCTGCTTAGGTAAACTAATTTAGTCTGTGGTGATTATCATGGAAAAGTGGTTCCTGGTCTGATTCACGGCTGAGAAGAGTCATGTTATCCACTTTTGAGCTGTTTTTGTAGCACACTTTGGTCCTTTAGATTTTTGCTGCTTTTTCTCTCATTTTTAGTGGTTTTTATGCACCTGTGACTGGAACAAGTGGTTTGTGACTGGAACAAGTGGACAATTGGGGGAGAAAATGATGAGTGTCAAGTGCAACATCCATCTACTGCAGATGCATGAAAGTCGCATCTGTTGGAAACGAAAAGAAAACCATGCTTTGTGACATTTTTCAGCTTATGAGTGTTTGGGAATCATTTAGCTGATGCTCAAATTGAATTTTATGCATCAAACTGTGATAAAGTTGGTGTTTTTCAGAGATTCAGCTGATTAAATCTTCAGAAATGTTGACGAAATGTTCATTTAAAAATTATACAAGTGCCTGTTTTGAAGCAAAATGTAAGGATGGAGAGAATTCTCAAGAAAATCATCACACCAATGTTCATCATTTAAATTTCACTGAATAAAAAGCTTGTTTTCATTACCAAATAAAGTCAGATTTTCAGCTATTATGATTTCATTGTCAAACCTCAACTTTTTAAAAGCTTTCTCATGGCAAGAAAATGGATTTAGCTTAACAAAATTAAAGTGACTGAAATTTGCAGTTTCACTTTGACCAATGAACATCTTATTGATTTAAATTCTTGAGTCTCAAACAAAATCTATAAAATTAGAAAAACAGGTTTTTGGGTTACATTTAAAAAAATGTTTAACATTTGCCTCAAACAACATCAGAACTATCAAAAAGTTGTAGAAAAAAGCATGAAAACATAAATAAAAACAGTATAAACTCATTTTTTTAAATAATCCAAAAGATTTCATCTTCAAATGGACTTATATTTTGAAAAAAAAAACAATCTGGAGTTTCAATCTGATTGGCTACTGATGAGGAAAGTAATCTAAAATCATGTCAATTAATTAAATATTCTACGTAAAAGTGAACACAGCTTTATCTCCTCACAACCGTGGACGAACAGCAACTACCCCACCCCCCACCCCTACACACACACTTTACCACCACCACCACCCCCAGCAGCAGCAGCAGCTCCTTCATCAGCCTTTGGGCTTTCTCATCAAACAGCTTTCAGATGTTTCTGTCTAAATGACATAAAACAGGTGATATTTTAACATTTATCACTATTAATCATTGATTTGATATTTTTCTGCTCGTCCCACACTCCTCCTCCCCAAGAAGTTATTTTTTAAGTTATGGTCTCTTTAAATAAACAGCCAAGTTGGCCTCGTGTCACCATTGATTGTAAGAAACTTTTCTTCTCTCTGAAGAAGCTTTTCAGCATGTTTATAAATGTTTTCTTCAACTTATAAAAGTAAATCCATCATCTCTGCCATGATCTTCTTCAAACCCTCCCGCTCTGAATTCCTGGCCATCCTTCATCACTCAGCCTCACCCCCCCACCCCCACCCGCCAGCCCACTCTGCTCCTCTTCCTTCCCTCTTGGTGTTTACACAGAGGCTAGTCAGGAGGAGTTCGGATTCTGGTGAGATCAATTTGCTCTGATGTGGTCCAGGAGGGAAACCCTTTCTTAATTCATTAAATCTTAAATATCTAAACATTTGTTTTAGATCATGATGTAAGTTAAAGACTTACAGCTGAAGTTTGAAATCAAAATTGCATCCTTGACGAAGGACCTACCCAGTCGATGTAGGCTGGAGACTTCGAGGATCTTGATTTTGGACACAGTCTATAATTTGATCAGTTGTAGATTTATGTGTGATTGTTAATTTCTGAAAGTTTCATTCACATCTGACTAGAAACTTTACCAGTAGACACGCTGGGATGAGTCTATAGTTACTGATTAACTTAATGACAAAGTTGAAAAGAAAGACTGTGTGATCCATAAGTGATCAAAATACAAGCTGGGGATGTGTCTTGGATACCTACACCCCAGAATATAACTGAATATCTGTATAATTAGTTGAAATGTGGCAATGTGCAGAAAAGTGTGATTCTTCCTGTGTGAGAGTTGGCAGCTCTGATGTTCAAGTTTGTCGATCCTCAATATAAAAAACAAGAAGAAGAAAAAGAAAAAAGTTAGCTTTCTCTGTTGGCATCATGGCAGAGCCTGGAAATAAAAGTAAGAGAGTCATGTCTGGAGGTGAAGCAAAAAGCTAAAACCATAATGAACTTTGGCACAGTTCACACTAGTTTTACCACTTACACACTAGCATCGACTAATTTGGCTCCAGGTAGATCGCCTCGGGAAGAGGGCTGAAAAGACATCCGGTTGCGCACAAGAAAATCCAAGGCCACCCAAATGAGAACACTCACAACCTGGTCAAGGCGGAGTAGAGCCGATGCTAGTGTCTAAGCGCTATTTTGAGAGAGTTAAAGTAAGCTACAAAAATCATGGACTGATGGTGACCTGGCTTTGCTGCTACTGGACATGTAAGTAATAATATTTGTATCCAACAGTGTGGATCTTTCTACTTTGTGGTTTACTTTAGTATTAATTGGCTCATGTTAGTGGTAGCTCATTGTTAGCGCTACTACAGCAGTGTTGTTTACAACGGTGGTAATTCCACTTTCAACCAGTAGGGCAGAAGAGCAGGAAACTGCTCACTATTACTTTAAAATCTATTTCATGATTCTTTAACAAACACAATCATCAATGATAAATTATGAAAGCTGCATGGGAGGTAAACTGACATTTAGCATTTTTTTTAATCTTTTAAGCTCTCATGCATGGCTCCAAACCTTCAAACTACCACCTGCATTTCACTTGTCCACCAAACCAGGAATGATCACCAAACTAAACTCCCATAAATCCCAGTAACGGAGCAGGACAGCTCATCCTCCTCACACCTCTTCACTCATCCTCATCCCAGCCTCAAACACGGCTGCTGGCTGGATGCCAACAGTCTGCAGGATCCCACAGAAGATCTAAACCTTCTTCTGACCGGTAATAAATACACAATTTGGCAAACAAACCACATATGGTTGTGTGTAGGAGACTTCTGAGCACATTCAGCATCAGGGGTTTTAGTAATGCTGAAATGGTCATCTGATTGTTGAAGGAGGCGGGATGTCAAGGATTGGAAAGGTTTTGGTTTCTGGACATTACAGGAGATGCGTTCCAATTTCACACTGAATTTATTTAAGGAAGGTGATGGAAAGGTCAGCCAGCGTGAACGCCGGAGAAGCAGAAGAGAATCTGAGAAAAGACTGAGTGGAGATGCAAAAGTTGGCAACCTCATGAACAC